TTTCCATTTTGTAAGCTAGCTTCTACATTTGGGGGGGAGATTCGACTGAGTTAGAGTCCATTTTTGGTGTACGTGTTACAATTTGTCTAAATGCACAGGGTGTGTGTTTACCTGGTATTTGTGTATGTGTCAGTGCCTCCAGTATGCTAGGTGAGCGTCCTTCTCTCAGTGCATCCTGAGGTCCAGATGCTCTCAGCAGCTCAAGCACACGAGCCAGATGCACTCTGGCTGAGCGGAAAGTGTAAGGCTCTGAAAAGACGTGCGCTGGTTAACAGAAAATTTAGATCGACCAATTAAAAAACTCTGAGCAATACGACAAAGATCTGATAACCACCTGAAAGTGGTCAGCCCTGTTTTCAAAGAACAAGCCGTACAGAGTTCGACAAAGAAGATGCATAAGGAATGTGCTCGAGGGTACATTGTTTCAGCAGCTAGAGGGTGAGAGTGAAATACTTGAGTTTGCACTTATGGTTGCAAAGACTACAACTAAATCTCTGCATCTATAAACCTTTGTGTGATGACTCAGAAAAAGTGAGTCAGGTGTTTACACTGAGCCAAGATAAACTTAGGTGTCTGTGGATGAGAAAGGGTGAGAGTGTGGTGAAAATATGGATAGGATTATTGTTAAAATTAACAAGCTATGAACATAATTATGCTCTGGAATGCTCTCCCTCCAACCTCGAGGTCTGCTAAGAACTCAAAAAAAAAAAAAAAAGTGCTGTAGAATTAAAATGTTACTAATGTGTAAATGGGTTGAATTACCAAAAGAATAAAACAGGCAGTAATTTACTTAACGATTCTTACATATTGGTGAATTTCTTATTGAGTGGTAGCCAAAGACAGCTTATTAAAAACAGAAACATGATACCTTCCACAAGGCGAAGGATGGCACCTGCTTTAAGACCCTTGACGTTTTGCAGTTGAGCAAGGGGATCCAGAGTTGCCCCGGCCAGTGTGAGTGAGAGGTTGGAGCGCGGGAACACCTCATTCCTCGAAAGCAGAGTCATTACTGCATCTTGAACAAGCCAAAAACCATGGACCTACAGAGATGAATTTTTTTTTTTTTTTTTTTTTTTTTTTTTTTAAAAACACACCAGTTAAATCCAATCTGCGAACACTCAAATATCTACTTGTGAGGAGAATTTCAGACATACAGAATTATCCACAGTGGCAAATATAACAAAGGATAAAAATGATAAACCATAAATACATAGTTCCAGCTAAATTTTAATTTCAATATTATTTCTATATATAGTGCCAAATCACAGCAATTATTACCTCAAGGTGCTTTATATTGTAAGGCAAAGACCCTACAAGAATAGCCATCACCGCTTTTAAAAAGACAAACAAAACAAGGAAAATGGGAACAGACAGTGAGTCAGTACCTGCAGCTCAAAGGGCTCTACTCCTGCTCCCTGGATCTTTACAGAAAACGATGTGACGTCATCTAGGCGAATACCGACAGCATCGCTTCCAACAGTCACGCTGTTTGCATCTGTTTGAAGGAGAAATCAGAGGAACAGATTCAACAGGATAAACAAAGAGTTCTGCAAAAGGAGCAGAACATGTCAGTTTCCAGAACAGCTGAGATTCTGTTGACATGCCCATAAAACAGAGTGAAACACCTGCTAATCATCATATCTGATTGCAAACATTTTGAAGGACAGCAAAAAGTAGCATCAAGTTTGGGTGATTTACACATTCTGTGAAGGCACCATTTATGTTGAAGTATTTTATTCCCTTTTTCAGGGAAGGCCTTGCTTCCTTCAGCGAGACAAACAATATTTCTGCACCCATTTGAGCAGCATGTCAGAAAAAGCCTGCAGTCTGAACCTGCCACCCACTGAAACATCTGGCACATGATTAAAAGAAAAATATGACAAAGGCGGCCCTGAACTGTTGAGCAGCAAGAATGAGGAAAAAAAAAAACAAAAAAACAAAAACAAAAAACCTTTCAGCAGCAGATGGTCCCCTCAGTTCCCAAACACTTGCAGGGCTGTTAAGAAGAAGCGGACACATGCAGCACGGTGGGAAAGGAGCCCGACTTTTATGAAATTGTTTGCTCGAAGTATATACTAAAAAGGAAAAGATTACAGCTTCTCGCTGTAACATTTGACACGTTCTTGCTGTACTACTTGCAAATCATTGCCTTCCTTTTGCATTTTACCTACCGTGATGAGGCAGGGACTCCATCTGGGCAACATTCGCAATACTCTTGCTTAGTTGCCACTTTTAAAACAGAGTCAAACAACAAAGGAATAGTAATAATTATTTATCACGTTCTTCCCACTAATTTCCTCTAAAATGAGTATGAGCTAGGATGGAAAGTTTGGTATGTAACAGAGTGCCTGAAGGAGAGTGTGAATTTATACAAGTAAGAGGGGAAGGGGGGGGGGGGAGAGAGAGAAAGAAACATGGGGAGTGTCTAGCTTTTTTTTTTTTTTTTTTTTACACACACACTTGCAGGGAGAACAGGACTTGGCGTGTTCCACTAATGGAAGTATGGCTAAACCTGTTGCATTTGCATACTGGCCTACATGCCATCTCAGAGTGAAAGGACAGCCAACACCCAATGCTGCTATGTAGATAAAAGCAGCAAACTGTGACACAAAACTAAAACCTAAGTGATGGATCAGGCTTGCTTGCAATGATGCATTCACACAATGGCTACTAAAACATAACATGCACATTGCAGAGGCCAATAATAACTTTGAGCTTATCTCTGGCTACTGTCATTCATTCACTCTGCAGCACAGCCACAACTCTTGCTGTCAATCTGGGACTACTTTGCAACTGGAAAGCACCCAAAACAATAGCAGTTTGTGATTGGTCGTCAGAATGTCCCTCCTCTCCTCCGCTTCTCTTTTGGAGCTCGTACAGAGTCTATGTTGGCATTGATTCCTGAAGTTGGCTTGCACTATAATCGAGCTAGGAAGCAAAGAAATGTATATGCTGCAGCGCGTTCATGGTAACCATGCAAAACTGTAATTGTCAGAGCATTCCTCTGTACTTTGAAATTACCTAAACTGTCAATCACAGTTCAAAAATTAATGACATTTTTTGAAAGAAAAACGCCCTCGGGGCAATTTAATTGGTGACAGGCTAGCGCATATTCTACCTTAACTCAATCAGCATGTTATGTATGAGGGGAGTGGCAACACGTTAGGAGGTCCTCACAAGAGTGTGGCAACTGTTTTGGACAAAAATCAAGAAAGTGTGTAGAGTTTCACTTCTTAAAAAGGTTGTAAGGGGATATTGTAAGGCCCCTTACACATCTGTGCACATATTCCTATTGATTTTAGCTGCATCACAGCACGTGTGTATGCGTGTGTGGCACTCAAATGCGCAAAATACACAGCAGGAGATGCTTCAAGTGGTCAGGAAGTTGGTAAAAGCACCGGCCATGTTCAGAGGAGCAGTACAGTGCTGGAATGTCTCACCCTCCACACATTCTCCTGCTACAGGAGACACCCCTCGCACAAGCACAAAAAGGAAGAAAGTGCCAAAGAGAGAGGAGCGCACACGTAAAACATATCCCACAGACTAGTTCTTACCAGCCTTGGCTTGATTTCTTCCTCCTCCTCTCCTCACTTTGTCCTTCATGGCTGCCTACTGAAGTTTTTCCTGGAGCTGTCTTCTTGTGTTTTACTTCTTCTGTGGTGGAAGCTGCTACCACGCAGTCTTGTTTAAAAACTCACGGAAAAAAGACCGAGCGAAGACAAGTGGAAACGCACAGTCCTACTGACTGAAGGTAAAATGCCTGCTCAGGACTGCAACTCCTGCCCTGTCTACAAAGCAAACTTAGCTTATCTGCTCTCCCTGCGTAAAAAGCCACACCCTCCTCTTATTGCTCCACACAGGCTCATTACTCCGGCTGTCTCACACGCTTGTTGGACTGGGTGTGTCTTTGTTCACTCCTCCCTCCAGAAGCCCTGGAGTAGAAGTGTGAATTAAAGACTGCTTTGACACCAGTCCAACAAAAACGGCTTTTGAATCTAAGTGTTTTATATTGCATTATGTGGAAGCTCGCTCAGCGCATTGGTCCACACATGTCCAGATGTTAACAAAAGGGAATGATGAGGCAGTGTTCTGTAATCTAACGCCAAGTGAGTGCTGCTGGGTGCAGCTGGGCTTCTTCATTTGTGACAAGTTTACTCAGTGTCTGCAGAAAATACAACCGTGAGAAAGCTACGCTTCCACAAATGGGTGCGCCCGTGTGTGACTTGGTTACTCATCTCTTTTGAAAAGTGTACACCTACTACAGTCACATTTTACGCATACCTGTGCAGATTTCAGTCCAAACACGCATTAAGACTTCTGGGTTCGGCTGCTACAATCTCATAAAACTATGTTTTAGTCATCTACAGTGTGCTCGGTGGTGGAGTTATAAAACATCTCTCAGCTGAAAGTCAGGGAAGTTAAGCATGCATCTGGACAAAAGTCAGCTGCTTGTCACTTCTGCCATATTATAAGATATCCCCACAGGATCGAAATATCCCAGGTTATGGTGGATGATGGCTTTTTGACACTCGTCACGTTTACGTTTTTGTATATAACTGGATGAATGCACAAGTGTCAGAGTAGGGTACACCTCGTTTTCAGCACAGTGAAACACCCCGTACCACGTTAGGGACGTAAATGTAACATTACCTTCAGGAGCCCCTTGTAGATTTCATTTTGATTACAAAAATGCAGCTCTTTAGTTCATGTTTTGTGATACTATTCCTTGGGTTTTAATGTAACTGCTCTTATAATAACCTATAAGAAATATATGAAAATAATTTAATGATAACGATGCGTTTGTTTTATTTTATGAAGACTAATACTAACACTAGACGCTATGGTTAAGCACTTCGCCTTCTAATGATCACACTTTGTAGTACAGGCATCGGAGAAACATCCAAATTGATGTAGTTATCCCGAGTCTGTGGTTTTGACCTACATTGTAGTCAGTCGTGAATGCTCACTCAGTAATGTTCATATTTCCGAGGTCACTGCAATCTAGCATCGTTTCAGGAGGCTGTCCTCGGCTAACCGAGCTAGCCACGACAAGATAGAATAAACAAACAATTTAAATCCTCTGCATTAGGTCTTTGTGAAGTTGTCGGTGAGTTTAACTTAACAGCTGTCTGTTACTAATGCTGTGATGTCTAATAACACTGTTTGGAAACAAAAAGAACTGTAATAATAGCGTCCCGTCCAGCCATTGTAACTCAGTTAGCATAAACCTCAACCAGCGCTACAACTCTTGGCCTCGGCGATTGTGTTTTTGCATCCTTTAAAATACAAGGCTTACAACGTGGCAGTTAACCATGAACATTGTTTTAGTCAAGATAATGTACAGCGTTTCCCTGCCACGTACGTCATCACAACTTATCATACAGCCGTTGTGTGAGTGAACTTTTAGCTTTTTGTATTTCCATTCTGTTCACCGTTGCTGACCAGCAGCTAAGGAGACAGCTGTCAGTTTATCCTTGGAGCTTAGCTGGCTCTTCTTTTCTCACCACCTGTGATTCTCCCTGTGCCACAATCTGCTGCAACACTTTCACTCGTTTTGTATTTTTTGTTTTTACACGTTGTAACAGGTTATGTATGGGATGCCACTGACTGTCTGTGTCATCCATGCAGAACTCTGTTGTTACATGTCCTGTGACTGTGTGGCCTTCTGCCCGCTTCATGTAAGAGTTGATCATCGAGCTCATGTCAGTCAGTGAAGGTGAAGAGGGGGGTCTCTTTCGGGCTGCCCCAAGCGATAACTCCCAAGACCTGCTCGACAACCCCACTAAGACAGTGGCCACGGGGAGCACACCTGAGGATCAGGTGAGGGTACATGCATAACCATGGGGGGGATAAATGTTGCTGGATGCAGCAACACTAACCCTAATATGAATTTAGTCCTAACCTGTTTCACCAGACATAAAAAAGTGACAGAAGGGACTATAAATGAAATGAAATGTAGCATAAATGACATCTTGATGCATGCTCAATCATCCAAGTGACGAAACGTTTCTCCCACAAAACACTACGTCCAGATGAACGGAATCAACTTTTGGAGACATAAATGACATATTAGCAAAAAACAAAAACCCAAAGGCATGAAGGATAGGCTTGAGCAGTCAGATTTGGAGATTTTTATGCTTGATCTTCTTTCTGATGCAACCCCCAATGGATATCTGTCTCCCCCCAGAAAGGAACCAGGGATCTTTCCCTTGTTAGCCAATTGTGTAAACCACTACTCCGTAGAGCCACTTAATAAAGGACAGCAGGATAATGGGAGTAATTTTTAAACTTCATATCCCAGAAGGTGATTATGTTTATCTGGATGCAGTGTTTTCAGTGGGGGTGACTTCTTTGCCTTTCTGGGACTTCCTTATTAAGCATGCATCACAATATAAAAGCCATATTAATCTAAATTAAGATTTTGGGTTCCCAGCCAGTCACCGGCCAGTCTCTAGGCCTGTCTGACTGAGGCTTTAACTTCACCAATCTGCAGTTTGAGAGCCACTCTGGTAGTGTGTAGTAGTAATAGATGGACATTAAATAGTGTTTGTTTTTTGTGGTTTGACTCATTGTAAAGTTTTAAGTAAAGCAGGTAATGCAAAAGTGACAACAATCCTGGTGTGATCATCTGGGCTACTGTCAGAATATCTCTGCCTGTGACTTTGGAGTTTTATCATTTACATTCCTGATGGTTTGTTGCTTTTCCCCCCTGCATGACATGTCATTAAATATGTGGTACAGTTAGCTGTGTGCCTAACAAAGTCTCAGGGAGAAATTTTACTTGCAAGATAACAGCAAGATTTAATTCCTAGGGAAGGTTCTTCGGTCACATTCCACTTTATTCTCAGTCATTATAAATCTGTCCAGATGCTTAATGCAGACTGATTTGGCTGCTGTCAGTAATGTGGGCGGGTGTTGTGTCAGGCACTGTTTGACACAATGAATTGCCAAAATTATTACTGGCAGCATTGTGTGTTAACACTGGATTTTCAGTGGAAGTAGATTGTTTACAAGCTATAGTTTTATCAGTTGTGGAAAGAAGAACAGACAAGAGGCAGCTTGTAAAGAAAAGCATAAAGTAGGGCTTTGTGCTTTTTACAAAGACAAGGCCTAATCCTGTCTTTCCTGACACCCCTTGTTCTGTCTCATGGTTTGGGCTTGCTTCATAGGATTTTACAGAAAGGCACAGCCTGGTTCGGACTTTTGAATTTACTGGTTCTAATAATTGCTGAGTTGAACAGTGCACTGTTCCAAAGACAGTAAGCACAGGAAGAAATACTGATGTCAGATTTTGATCATGTCGCCATAATTTTTCTTCAGGCTTCACCTGTGGTGGACGAAGCTTCTCCTTCTTCAGCGTCCTCTTTTGAGATGCTTGACATGGAGTCAGCTCATGCTCCTTACCAAGAAGTGCAGCCTCACTGGTTCTTCTGTCGACGTGCTGATGACAACACCTCCTGGCTTCCTTTCAGCAGAGAAGACTCTGACAAACTAGAGAATGCCTTCACCAACAGTAAGAATGTATTTTACTTGTACGTTATAAAAGATACTGTGTACTTAAATTATTACAAATGGATAGTCTGGGGTTATATCAGCAAGCATTTTTCTGGGCCTTTGTTGACAGTAGGGTGTGGTTGGAGGGTACGAACATGTGTTTGTCAGTTTGCTTAACAAAGGTCATAAAAATGGATTCTATACTGGGAACAAACAAACAAAATCCCATTTGAAAAGCTGGTTAAAAAATTTTTTTTTTATTAAAACTTGTGATTTTCCTTTAAGGAAAATGCCAGGAAGTAAGACCTGATTTTATTGTATCCAGGAAAAACTGCATAATCCCTGTGTCATTATTACAAAAGTTGGAGTTTTCCTGGAACAACTGATGGAAAGATAAACTTTCAAAACAGTGTTGCTATCACTGGCTAAATGCCCAGTAGGCCATTTGACTGTTCTGTTAGGACATGCTCCCTGCTATTAACAATTTAACCAACCGAAGTTCAGTTTCAGGGTTTGTTTGGGTGTGTCTTAGTGTTCTTAACTCCCACTGACACACTAACGTTTTGAACATCCCCATCCAAAGGAAAACGAACGCAATAATAAAACAGCGGTATAAGAATGTCATTTTAAAAGTATGACTCTTTGAACAAATAACATACTCCTCAAGGGTTCAGAAAGATGTACTTATCAGTAGATAATTTTACAATATTTAAACACCAAAGAAAGAGTCTAAATCTACGTTTAGGGGGAAGCATGTAGTTTTATTATTATTATTAATATTGATCTTGTGTGTGACAACCGCAATGAAAATATGAATGGTGTTGTACAAAATGTTGTCAATAAAGGTTAAGTTGACAAATAAAAGAGTATGAGTGTCCATTAAACTAAAGACGGACGGTGTTTCTAACAGCAGGTACATGATTAAATTATTTCAGAAGAATAAACTTATTGTTCACTTGGTGATGCTGATGAAGTCACTGATGAGTGACCAGTAATTGCTGCAAAGTAAAACGTGTGATCAAATTTAACTTGTAAAGTAACTTCTTTAGTCCTGTAAAAATAGCATACGCTGTAATTAAATCAAAGCACCAGAGTGCTTTCTTTATTTATATCTGCGTTTGTATGTTTTTACCTCGCAGTCAGCGACGAGGGTGAGGAGGATAAGGTGGTAGCTGTGGAAGGGCAACGGTATGATGTACATGTCAAGGAAAGGAAGCGTTACGCTGTGTATTGGGAGCAAGCTCCCTCTGAGGTCCGCAGGTGCACCTGGTTTTACAAAGGAGATAAAGACACCAGATTCATGCCTTATCCTGAGGATTTCAGCAAGGATCTGGAGGTAGTCAGACACAAATAATGACCTTTCACCAGCACTCCTTCCTTCTCTATAGCTGACTACTTTCTAACTTTATAGTCTTCTCAACTTTGGTCTTAAGTAACACTTTTAATATATAAATATTTTGCAGGAAGCCTATAGGAAATCAGTGACTTCAGATGAATGGAAGAAGAAATTGGATTTTCCCACTGGAGAGACTGTCATCTTACACAATCCGAAGGTAAAGCCTGCTGTTAAAATATCAAAGAGTGATTCTGTTCATGAGACTGGCACCCAAAGAACTATTTGCATACTTAAAATGTTTTTTATTTCACTGAATTAGAAACAAAATGAAAGCAAATTACATTTATTATATTAAAAAAACAACCAGGAAACAGACCTTATTTAGATAATAAAATATTAGAGATTTTCTCTACTGTGAACCTGCTGGGTAAAATTTTAAAAAAGCCACCCATTGCCAAAAACAATCTTCTTATGACTAATGTGATGTGAGCTTGGAGAGCACTCACAAAATTATTTAATAGCACTCTCCCTCTTTTATCTTATAACAACACTGGCTGATAACCCAGAGCTGTTATCACAGGAAACTTATCAAATTTTACATTTTGGCAAAGAGCAGGTGCTGTTAATCTTTTTGAGAATGGAAGACTTAAAACATTTGATTCACTGACAGTTCAGTTTAATACATCAAATCTTATACAGATATTTAGAGATCAAAAACTTTGAGTCTAAGCTCAGATGACTCAGAACTGTTAGATAGATTTTTTTTTTTTTTTTAGATATCCAGATGCTGTTCTGAGGAGTTAACTTTGGGCCTGGGTAAACTTTCATGGCAGTTTGCAGCAGGCATAAAAAGTTACAGTATAATATTTTACCACACATCTGCACATGTCCGTTCATCTGTTGTAAGTACACAACAGGAACCACTCCAGACTGTCCCAGTTTCAAATGTAAGCCTCGTTAACACCAGGTTGCATTGCAATCAAATGTGCCGGGCACCACTATGTTCAAGTGTTAATGCAGCAAAAGGTCAACAAGTTTCAGCAGATCTGTCTGGTTTGGAAGGCTTGGAAACAAAAGAAAGATCCAATCCAGCCTTTTTTCATGTTAGCAAGGAAAGCTATAATGGTGATGTGGGTCAGAGATGAGATCCTTGATTCACACACTGCTCCCTTTTCCATGTGGAAATCACAGGTCTCAGAGATGTGAATAAAAGAAAAACTTGGACACTTTATTTATGGAAGGACTTTACTTTTACAGCAGGAATGGGAGAGGCCACTGGAACTTGTTGGGGTTGATTCTAATTTGTTTAAAAGTAGATGACACGGACAATTGCCACATTTTTGTAACTGGAATCAAATGACATGGATGACATTTGTTCATATATTACTCATTGTTGTACTTCACCAAACTATTGTGCAAGCGTATTGTTTTGGGTCACTATTATTAATGTCACAACTTCTCTTACTTTATGTATTATTGTATCAGCATTGTTTTTTGTTTATCTTTAAAAAAAAAAGATATAATTAAACTTATTTGTCACCCATATAAGTCTCTACCCACTGTTTTTCTTCTCAGTTGATAATGCAGTATCAGCCAATAGGATTGCAGGATGACTGGGTGTCCTCCCCCTCAGAACATACCCGGCCAAGAACTGTCAAAAGGGGAGTAGACAACATCTCTGTAGAAATACCTGATGGTATGTATGATAATGTGGTGAAAGCTACTCGTCACCAGTTTCAGAAAGTATCCCACACAGTCAGCGCTTTAGGCTCATCATATTTGTACGTGTGTTTGCAGGTGAACCAGAAAAGGTGGACCATGTTGTCTTCATGGTGCACGGCATTGGCCCTGCGTGCGACTTACGTTTCCGATCCATCATACAGTGTGGTAAGTTTCTTTGTTTATATGTATATATAAATGTTCCCATGTGTGTTTATGACCTCTTTTAATATCTTTCCAGTGAATGACTTCAGGAGTGTTTCCCTATCCCTCCTGGCCTCTCATTATAAGCGTGCTCAGCAGGAAGGTCAGGTGGGCCGAGTAGAGTTCCTCCCAGTCAACTGGCACAGTGCTCTACATGGAGATGCCACTGGTGTTGATGAGTAAGTATGAACAGAAATTGGACATCAACAAAACAGGATTTCTCTGTTGCAGTCCAGCTCATGACCCTGTTAGACGCTTTTCTTGTTTTCTGATTTCTCTTGTCTTCCCCACTTCCCAGGGACATCCAGAGGATCACTCTCCCCAGCATCAGCAGGCTGAGACATTTCACCAATGACACTCTGCTGGACTTGTTTTTCTATAACAGCCCCACTTACTGCCAGACCATAGTGGACACAGTGGCCTCGGAGTTCAACAGGCTACATGTACTCTTTAAGCAGAGACACCCAGAGTTCAGCGGGACAGTTTCAGTAGTAGGCCATAGCCTGGGTTAGAGATGTGCAAACGCAGAAACTCTCGCAATCACAAAGAAGTGGGACCTAAAATGCAGAGTTTTAACTTTTCTGCTTTGCCTCTACTTCTGCAGGTTCACTGATCCTGTTTGATCTGCTAACCAATCAGAGGGATGAATCACAAGCTAGACAAGGGGTACAACATGACATTCCCAGCAAAGAATAATGAAACTTTACTGATTAGGAAAGATTGTATATTTCTTCATGGCTTTTTCAGTTCTATTTCCTCTTCTACGTAAGATCTCTGGTGAGCCCTGTCATCTGAACTGCAACACACTGGAGCAGACTCTGAACAGACTGGGCCTACAGCAATATCTGGATGTGTTGCAGAACGAAAACCTGGATCTCGAATCTCTGGTAACACATAATGAATATACACACTGAGAGAACTGAAGGTTCTATCTATGGATTACATGTTGTATACTGTTCACATAATAACACCCACTGAGTCATTTGATCCTACTTAGAAAACCAATTAATCTTCTTTTTTAGGCTCTTTGCCGTGACAGTGATCTTAAAGATTTGGGAATTCCTCTTGGACCTAGAAAGAAGATCCTGAATTATGTCAGAAGGAAATGGCTTCCAGAGGTCTGGCTCATTTCAATTATGTGGATTTTCTTCCTCCTTTTTTTTTATTTTTTATTTAAGAATTTGTACTTGAATGAAATGCAATTGGAGAATATTGGTGAATTTTAGTGATTTACATGAATTTGCTAATTTACTTTCCTTTTTTTGGTTTAACATAGTTTAAGCCATGTTTGGAAAACCTGCTGATAATGTTTTATATTTCTTATTCATAACAGGACTGCAGGATGGGAGCAGTGTGTCAGGCACAAGGGCCACAACTTCAGCCTGAAGTGACAAGTACTCAGGATGGCAATGAGTCTTCAGGATTACCACCTCAGCAGTTCCACTTGCACAGGCCGCAGTCTGTCACTAGTGCTGTGGACTATGAGTACTTCGATGTGGGCATTGGACAGGTACAACACATGCAGACAAATACACCATTGTTATTTTTGCTCGGGGGGTGAAGCTTTGATGCATCACCTTCCTGCTTCTCTCCTCCCCTCCGCCCGCTTACCTGGACAGACCAATGGAGGCATAGCCAAGGGACAGGTGTGTCTCACATGGTGTCCACATACTCTTCGGCTTTGTCCTTTGCTGTCTTTGACCTAACTGTGTCTGGAGTTTCTGTTCATATATACTTCAGTCAGAACAGGGGGCTCTCAAGGGAGCTAAACTACAGCAGATCAATGATAAGAGAACTTTTGTCATATTGTGCCATTATTAGGGTACCGTGTTTGTCCCATTGAAAGGTACATCCCAGTGCCATTGTCTGTCTGTCCTCACACTCATGAGTCAGTCCTGCATGAGTGGCCATCTCCCTGGTGTCCTCCTCACCTGCTGGTGTACTTCCTGGATGTTGTAATATTTTCAGATGGCACAGCTAACCAAGGGAGAAATTTCTATCGTGTGTGTGTGTGTGTGTGTGTGTGTGTGTGTGTGTGTCCTACAACAGAATCTGTTTAAATTATAACTCACTGTAACAAGCTAACCCCACCATTTTTCCACAGGTATCCATTGATTACCCGCAGCTTGAATTCCACCCTCAGACGTTTTTTGCATTCGGTTCTCCAATTGGTATGTTTCTGACTGTACGTGGGCTTAAACGCATCGATCCAAACTACACCTTCCCCACCTGCAAGAGCTTTTACAACATCTACCACCCAGTGAGTAACTCCTTACTTAACTCAAATGCCCACTCTGATTCTGCACTCATCTCTTAAAGAAACCTCACCTGCCAGTATGAGTTGGGGAAAAAAAGAGGAAATGAAAAATGTTAACAGCATTAGATTAAGGTAATTGGATTAAAGTAGACAGCTTCTTTGCTCTTTACTACTTCTTTATTTAGTTGTTGAATTCAAGATTAAAAGATTTGCCAAAGAAATAGTTGGTATATAGACAAGCACCTGCTGGACTCTTTCTCTACTCACATGATGAAAGAGGTCATCTTTTATGTCTTTTATCTGTGTTTAGTATGATCCTGTTGCCTATCGGATAGAGCCCATGATTGTTTCCGAGGTGGACCTGGAGCCCATGCTAATCCCTCACCATAAAGGCCGCAAGAGGATGCACCTGGGTATGATTATTTCTCTGTACTGAAATAAGCTGTACTATTGTAGGAACTCATTTCCGTTTCTCTTTGTTTTGTAGAACTAAAGGACAGCTTGACCCGAATGAGCATGGATTTGAAGAACAATGTTCTGGGATCATTACGGACTGCGTGGCAGTCCTTTGCCAGACTGCCGGTTGCTGCACTGCCTCCGGGGGAAGGAGGAGAAACTACAACAGAGAAAACCCTTGAGGAGACGCAGGGTAAATAACGCATGTTCATTTGCTTTATTTGTGTGTGTTGTGTGTGTTTGCGTGTGGGAGCGAATGTGCACACGTGTGTCTAACTCAGTCTCCTCGTACTCCTCTCACCCCTCTCTGCATGTTGCCCTCCTCTGTTCTGCTCTATCTGGTGTTTTCTTCTGCTTCCCTCACCCTTTACTACTTTACTATGAACCTCAGCCTCAGCGGCAGTCACTGCTTCTACTAAGAGGGAAGACAAAGGGGCTAATTTTTGGACTAAAATACTGGCGTGGTCTAGTGCCATTCATAGGCATTACTTTCGAGGTAAGCTAGCATAGTCATTTGCGTGGGGTTGATTAATAAAACAAGTAATTAACTCATTGTAATTTATAGCTGCTGTAACATTGGTTTAATGACCTTTTAGTCCTCTCTTAGAAAGCTCTAAGCCTATGAATACATCATTACTCATCTTGACCTAGAAAACTAACATGTTTCCAGTATTCATACAAAAGAGGCAGAATTAATTATTTCTACTTTGCTGCTCAGTTGCAGAGGTTTACATCGGCATTTACATTTGCTCATATACAAAGAGGGAATATGATGTATTTTTTCCTGTAGCTCATTACTGACTCAGGCTCCGTTAGGCTTCTGCCTCCCGCTTTTCCTTTTAGTTCTGGCTGGTGGATCCTCAGTATCATAAGCCGGTGTAACTAAAGCAGTGGACTGAACGAGCAGCACTAGCAGTTTTAAAGCAGTCAAGTTTTCTTTTCTTTCTTTTTTTAATTACATGAGAAATTAGCTGGAATATGATATTCATCTGTAGACCTCGTGCAGTAGCTACATGTGGGTGCACGTCCTGCAATTAAGTGACAGGATACCGTTTTTTTGTTTTTTATCTCAGGGCTCACAGGTATTCATTTACAACCTTATTCTAATGGAATGTTATTTGAGAGTTTTTATGTTTTAATGTCAGGATTACAAGCCAGTACATGCAAAGATAGATTGAGACGCTAACAGCCAACAGCAGCAGGTTCATCAGAAGTGCATTGGGGTTTTTAGGGGAGCCTCGAGGGATTCATTGCAAGCTAACAAGCACATCAGTCAAAACTACCCCAACTTACTGACATTTACTCATGATTTGCCTATAACTATACACGTACCTGATACTACATAAAATGAACTAAAATGTCATAGTAGACAAGTATTGACAAACCTCCTTCACTAATATAAACCCGTAAAAACACGTTTTGTTTGTTTTGCTTTTTTAAGCCTAAAATGTATATTAACTAATGCCATGGGGTAGCGTCCCAACCCCATCTGACAGGATCTATGATGGTAGTATATACTGATTGATGTTTGGAGTAGACTTCTCAGAGTATTGTTAATAGTGTTTGCAGAAGTGGATTTAGCTGCACAGTTTGCATTTAACTTTTATTACTCTGTAAATTTAGTTTTGTGTTGCTCACTGCAAACAGCACATGCTTCCCTCTTTGCTCTCACTTAGTTATCTGTTAATTATTTTACCACAGAGGGTAAGTAAAAGCAAAGAGCCTCCGTTGGGTGTTGTCATGGTTTCGGTGCGTGCAGCCTTGTTTGAAATGATTTCTATCCCTTCAGGAGGGTTTGATGAGGCAGAGTCCTCAGAGTCAGTGGAAGAAAGAGAGCATCGTGAGATTAAAATGGGGATGTTAAATGGAGGTCGACGCATCGACTATGTGCTTCAGGAGAAACCCATTGAGAGCTTCAACGAGTACCTGTTTGCCATCCAGTCTCATCTGTGTTACTGGTGAGTTTTTCGTATCTGTGCAGGGTTGATGGAAATGATTTAAATATTTTTACTTCAAATAAAAGGTTTGTCTTTCTGCTTGTTAGGGAATCGGAGGATACAGCTCTACTGCTGCTGAAGGAGATTTACGACAACCTAGGTGTGGCTATCGAACAGCCACAACAGTAGGAAAGTTGTATAAATGAAGAAATGTTTGCCTGATTTTAGGAAAATGAAGGACAAATGATAGAGCCAGAGTTTGTACATTATTTTTCCAGAATGCCTTACTGTCGGGATGATACATGCCTGCCAGAATCTATCCAAACCCTTCAGTAGTGACAGTTTGACTCCAGTCAGGTGATCTAGGTTCTTCTTTTTTGTTTAACCTTAATTTAGGATGGCAGCTGCTTCTTGCCACTACAGGAAGCACCGTCGTGCTTCTGGTTGCACTATTTTTAATCATTCTTTACTTTACTCTTCTTTTACTTCAAGTTGCTTAGTTACTGAAATATTGTGCTTACAACTACCAGAAAACCCACACAATACCTTTGTACTTGTTTGTCGTCGCATGTCGAACTAGAACTCATTTTCAGGTGGCACTTTCAACAAAAACATATTTACGATTTCATTCATAAAATCAAAATGGCACATATTCTTTTATATTTATCTATAGTCTGTAAAAAAATTTATAGATTTCCCAACTCTGTGCACAGTCTGCAATCACACATGTAGAGTTGTTTTGTTTGACTTAATAGGATTTTTGCTTTATAAACAGGAAAATGAAAGTTTGTTTTGTCTGTTATGTTTTTCTGGCAGCTCTATTCTCTCTGCCCACATCAGAGACACTTGAAACCCAAAGCTGCTTTGCCATACATTTGTGCAGCGTTTTGGTAATGTTGGTGTCACTCCTGTTACTTCACAAACATACTGCTGTTAATGTAAGTAATGTTTGTGTCTAACACATGTATCTGTATGAAGGAACCATGATGATGTTTGGAAATGCAGGTGTCTTTTTGTATGCACTCTAAGTGTGGGTTGGTATTCTATGTTTTAAGATTGTGTAAACTAATGGAAAGGTCACATTCACCCACTCTCCCTCAGTTTTGTACCATTTCCTCTTTACCATGTTGTTGCTTCTTTGCATTTGGCCCAGCAATGCATCGTCTGTCCTAAAATATAGTTGCTTCGGATTCAGACTACAGTCTTCGGGCAGTTGTAACTTTGGCGTTATCCACGAGTCAGATTTTTCTTATCTCCTTCTTTGTACTGAAGTTTTGTAAGTCACCCTTTCTGTTTGCACTGCATGCACTTCTTTTTAAAAATAGCACAGAGTTTTGCAACATATTGTGATCCTGTTTCAATTCTTACGCTCTAAAATGTTAATGAATATTATGCACACGGCAAAAGAATTTTGTTGTAAAATTCATAAGAATTTCATTTCAAGTACAAGATGTATTAAAAGATGTTTCAAATGTATTTATTTTATATAAAATATATATATTTGTTGGGAAATATCAGTATTATAAGTAAGATAAATTTGCATATCAACCAACATAATGTCAAGACTATTGAGTTAGAAACTGTGTGTGTTAGAGTAATTTACCTTTTGTAAGACTCTTTTATTATCACTATCAGGGTAGCACAGCCCTCTGCACGTGACATTTGCATAAATAATAAATTAACCTGCTCAGCTGGTTCTTTTTCTTCTTTTAAAAATGCACTAAATGCGCCGTAACCATGACGATGTTCTGTAGAACCTAATGATTGTCTGTAAATTTCACTTTATAAACCACAGCCATGATAAACAGTAGAAAACAGGACTTAATAGTCCATGAGTCTTCTTCAAAACCATAACCATTGTTTTGGGCACTTTATACTGATATACTGTTATATACCAAATACAAAAAAAATCCTTTCTGATACCCTGTAAATGTGGTTACATGTTTTGTGTGCCATAATAAAATATTCCAAATGCGTTGTGCTTTTTCAGGTTTATTGAAACATGATTGTTTTGAATTTGAAATAAATAAATAGCTTTTGTAGGTTTACTTCTACAGTCCATGGACTTCATCACATGTTGTTTCATTCCTTAAGACACTCCACTAGACCTTCACTGCAGCCACTGCTGCTTATTTGTGGGTCTCTCTGCTTTCAGTTTTGCCTTCAGTAACTGTAAAGCTTCTCTGTTCCATTGCGCTGTGAAGTGGTATCTGATCAGCATATGTCCCTGTACACTCACATCATCAACAAATGCTAGTGGCCCAGTTCCACTGGTATCCGCGTATGTCCGTGCCATGACACTGTTGACTGATAAAATTCTAAAAATGCAGCCAAGATGTTTGTTTTTTTTAAATATCAATTTCCAACTATTTACAGAACAATCAGGCTTTCTGCATCAAATAAGATGCCACACAAATTATTTGTGCCTCTCCAAAAATGAATTTCTGTCATCTATAAGATGAAGGAGAACATCACAAGCCTGATAGCTGCAGGCCTGAAAGCAGGAGGTGAATCACTCCTGTTGTCTACCTGGAGACAGTGTTTAAATTGCAGTCTGCCTTTAGTGGCTTTTTGGCAGCAACTGCGACATTCAGCAGTCGCCTTGTAACCTGCCTGATGAGGCTGTGCTCCATGTTTTCTGCAGTCATAGATAAAAAAAATATGTACCACAGCCTCATCAGGCAGGTTTCCATGACAAACTTTCTGTACATGTATATTAAATTTCATTTTCGTGATTTTATGAGCTTTTTCAAAAGTGTATATATATATTTTTTAAGTTCATAGATTTAAAAAAAAAATCTTTTACTTTATTTAGTTTTTAACGTTTGATTAGAAGCAACACAAAAAAACTTTCTCAGTCAATTCAGATTTGCAAAGTAATAAATCCTTCAAACAAAGACGAGGGGATGTTTTAAAGTAAGTAAGAGCAGCCAAAAAAAAGTAAACCACACACGAAGGACGCAGCTCATAATTCTCAGATGTAACGATCTCATTGTCGTTACTATAGCAAATCACTCGGGCATGCGCAGTTAAGCGATAAACACACTATCAGTCGCAGCGGTTGAGTTGGCCTGCAGATTTTGGCAAAAGCAATGAGGTAAGTCAAAGTCTTGAACTTGTTTTTACGGTTAGTCTTAAAGCTTTTTGTCAGAGGTGTTTGTCTTCGTTTTAATGCTCGTGGGTTTTTTTAATGCATGTTGCAGGTCAAACGATAAAAAACGATAAAACAGTAGCTCCCAAACTGAGAGACCACAAAAGAGTCCATGCTTGTAGTAATAGCTGGTAAATTGTACTTTTATATTTTCAGCGCATTTCCGTAGTTGTCCCTGTTGGGTAAAAATATGTGTCATTCAAAAGCTGGGACCTCCATACTGAGCCTCGTGTGATTCACTTCAGTGGGAGGAAATTATGTGCTATAGCTTTTGGGTGACTCCAATTACTGACCCTGCAACACTCTGAGGTTTTAAACCATTCTTCCTTTAATCATTAGAGACAGACGTGGTCAGACTGACTTGTATCAAGAGCTGTGGTTTCTTTATTTATTAATTAATCGTCTCTGCTGCACTGTGACTCAGCATGAGGATTGGACCAACCCTATAAGCGCTTTCCTTGAAATTAATGGTTAAACAATAGCTTTTTTTATTTTCACAACAGTGTTTAGTCTTTATCAGCCTCGATTAAGCCTCTTGTCATGTTAATCACACTGTATGACCTGATTCTGAAGTAAACTTAGAGGCTGATTAAGGGTTAAGAGGTCAAAATCTAACCAATCAACATGAGAAATGAAAGTGTACAAACAATACTTCCTTACAGTGAAAGGGCATGTTTGTTGTCATGTTAAATCTCTTTTTTGGGGGAGGGGGCTTTGGGTGACAGCAGGTAGCAGGAATGTGATATAACAAGTGGAGCTGTGTTTTATGCCACCAACTCTTTCCCTCCCCCTGGATGTCAGATCTGTTATTCAGCCCACGAACAATAGAAGAGGCTCTCTCTGTCTTAAACAATTCTGTCAAGTCTGCCAGATACCCCACACTGGTACACACACTGTATCTGCCTCCTGTCCAACTCTTTATGCTTGATCCTAATTTTCCCCCGTCACACACACATTTAACCTCTCTGTCTTTCTCCAAAGGGCAGTGCTATTGGTCTGGGGTGTGTGTGTGTGTGTTTTGAAGGAGAGAGAGAGAGGGAGATGATGAAGCTTGGGAAGTAGAGCAAGGAGGCGGGACTTGTCACCATTCACGTGTAGTGCTGATGATGCTCCGTAGAGCATCAACAGAGTCTGTGAAAGAGGAAAGAGGAGAGGCCGCTTGGTTAAATAATAACTAGTCAGCCATGAGGAGCAGTGTGTCGCGCTGCTCTGAAGCTGAGCCAGACTGTCGGGAGGAGACACAGAGGTGAAACTCGGAAGTGGAAGAAGACATCTGAGACGTACCTGTACCAAGCACAGACGCTGCTGTTGCCATGGGGGGCTCTCTCAGCCAGCACAGGAAGGGATCTGTCAGCTCTCCTCGCAAGAAGAACAGCATGTAAGGCTAGATTCTTCATTTGTATGTTTGTCTGTGAGCGTGGGGAGATGCTCCAGCTCTTTGGTGTTTTGTCTAACGTGGATGCTTCTGTCAGTGAGGAGGAAGAGAAGTGGGAGATAAGGAATCAAAGTGCAGTTTTGGGGCACTGAGGCAAACAGGACTTTCTGTGCTAGGCAAATTTGCCCATCGTGGGAGTTTGAATACTAGTTAGGTATTCAAATCAGACTAAAGGCAGAAAGCAAGCGAGCTTGACTGAGGAGTGGCGCAGCTGATAACATGAGCTGAAGGTCCAAAGCAGTTCAGTTTTGACAGCTGCTGTAGTTACCACAGTATAAAACACAATGCTGCTGGCAGGTTTTGATTATGCCGCTGTGACCCTAATTCTAACCCTAATCTGCATTGCGTTAATCGTACAAATTGTGCAGTCCATTTCTTTCAGGTACTGCAGATTCCTGTTTCGTTCATGCATCATGTTTGACATCCTTAAAGACCCGTGAGATGTGAAAACCGCAGCTGTCTGGAACACTTATATTGAAAAAAAGGACATTTAAATGTTTGAGCTGAGGCTAGAAAGCACCCAGTCACCGCTCATCCTCTTCTTTTTCTTAATCCTTTGTCACAAAGAGCGAGTCCTTTCACTTCGTCCTACTTAAAAGCTTTTCTAAGCTCCTTGTAGCGAAACAACAGTTTCGCATTGTGTGTTATTTTTGTGGTTCTTGTCAGTGGCTGTTAATATGAGAAGCACTGCCGCCATGTACTGAAACTGATATTATTTTGGAGATGGCAGCAGAACACAGAGAGCAACTGTAAGAAAAAGCTGCAGAGAACTCAAAGGGACAAACACTGAGACAAAGCCGTGTTTAAGAAATGCTCAGCTGGTTTAAAAAAAATCTCACCGCTCAAGCATACTCCAGTCTTCTGTATCCATCTGTGTTTTTGTAAGGTCAGATGGGGGTTGGGGTCCTCTTTGAGAGAACACTGGGAAACCAAACACTGCTGTGGGATAGGAGCTTTCAGCTTAGGATCTAAATTTAGTTGGCTTCATCATCCATTTTATATCCTAACTGGAGCAGTCTTAGATGTACACTGTTTTTGTTTTTTGTTTTTTTCTTTGCTCTCCAAAACCCCTGAACACGCAGAGAGAGTCTCACTTGGGAAAAAGCTGCCCTGCATTTGGAGCTCATTTCCTTCTCCATGGTACAAATCAATCTAACGTGGAGTGAAATGTCACTGTCTTCATGTATTGTGAATACATGAAGATGTGACAAATCTAAGGATAAGCATTGATTTTAAGCATAAGGCTTCGCTGTGGGGTATTACCAGCATAAAGATGAAAATCACGGCTAAATAATTGTGAAGTTAACAGGTAAAAACTTTGATTTGCACCATACATTGGATGTTGAAATGCAGTTAAGAATAAGTATAGCTATATTGGCTTTCTAATGGCAGTTAAAATTGTTTTGATTTGATTTGAAGATATGAATGTAAATACAAACATAAGTTGCAGTGGGGTGTGTCGACTCCCTCCCACACTATGGACATGAACTGTAGTGTGGGAATTGTGTGCTCTTTTGTTCCTGTTGTAGTCCAAAACAGTAGCTCAGCTGGTGCCTGTGCATCAGTCCTCTCTTATTATCTCATCGCCTCATTCTTTCTCTCTTTGTTTTATCATGTCGCTGTCAGTCGGGTTATTTTAGTGCATTGCAGCACTGCAAGGGCTTCGGCTCTGATGATTGTAACTGTGTTCACTCCGAGCTAGTTTTCCACTCTGACGCAAATAATTGAATGTTCTCTATAAAATATTCAGGTACTCTTTCGCGATGTGCTTCCCAAAAGCATACCAAAGAATTTGGAGCACCAGTCTCTCTTTGTGTAAATTTATCTCTGTGTGTCTTTTATAACAGCCCTTCCCAAACTGAAGAATGCCACCGCCCAGACTGAAATCTGAAAATCTTCTGCTGTCCCACCAAAATTTTAATCACAGCTCTGATCAGCACATCAGATTAAGATAAAATAGTTTACTGCTTTGCAATTCTGAACTGCTAAAATTTCATAGACAAAAATGTTTTATTCACAACAGAACATAGAAAAGCTGTTGAATGTTTAAACATAGACATTTTACAGTTTCATGAAAGATATTTGGTCATTTTAAATTTGATGGCAGCAAAAAAAAAGTTGGGACGAGGCAACAAAAGACTGGAAAAGTAACGATAGACAGATTCACAAATCTGCAGGAAAACTGCATTTACAAACCTCACTGCATTGGCTCAGGAACTTTTCTGGAAAACCATTCACTCTGCCATCCACAAATGCAGATTAAAACTTTCATGCCATATTGATTGTCTGTTTTAGTTCAGACGATTAATATGTGAATGGGATCCATAAATGCTGCTCACTTCTCTGGACCAAAGCTCATTTAAAATGGACAGACGCAAAGTGGAAAACT